AAACTCATGACAGAGTTATTACTGCACATTAGTGGAGAGTATTTGACAAGGAATGCTAAGACAATTATTCGGGTGGGAAAAAGAATTGGATTCCTCACACACATAAACACACACACACACACACACACACACACACGCACACACACACACACACACACCTTATCTAGGCAAACACTGAAATTTGAAAAACAATTCTTTAAAAATTTTAGGAAAAAAAATGAAAATAACTTTATGACCTCAAATTTGAGAAGGATATCTTAAGCATGTCAGAAAATATACAAACCATTACACTATGTTAACAATTATGTACATTAAAATTATGAACTTTTGTTCATCATAAGACAAGACATTGAAAATGGAAAGAGAAGACAAAACTGGGAGTAGATATTTGCCATAATATGACCTAAAAAGCATTATCCACAACATACAAAATCTTCTATAAATATGAGCAAAACATGAGAGCAGCTGATTGCACAGAAAAGGAAATATGAATAGTTAAATAATATGTGAAAAGATCCTCATTAATAATCAAAATGCAAATTAAAACCACAGTGGGATACAATTTAACATTCATTGGTTAGCAAAAATTAGATACACTGACTGTGGGTGATACAAAAAGCTTTGGGAAACTATTAATATTTAGCGTATCCTGCAATCCAGTGATTATACTTCTGAATTAAACACATAATAAAATACAATTTCACATCCATAACATTGGTGAAAGTACAAAATAAAATACAATAAAATAGTGGAAAGCACCAAGTGTTGGTGAGGAATGGGGGAATAAGAACTCTCATGAAGAGCTAGTAGGAGTGTAATCAAAATCCTTTTAAAAGCTTTTGGCATTTCTTATTAAAGTTTTACAGGTATATAACCTATGGACCTATAATTGCTTGCCTAGAGAAACTCTTGCATATATCCATTAAGAAACGTGAATAATCATGTTCAATGTGACATTGTTTATGACAATGAGAAACTAGAGACAACTTTAAAATATTTATCTCAGGAGAAATGATAAAATAAAAACCTAGAGGAATATTAGAAACCCTATACCTTGGTTAGGATT